AACCATCACAGGAGGCTGTGAAGGCTAGAGCTATAACAGAGTTTAAAGAGAAGCTAGATAAATTCATGGAGGTTGGGTCCATAAAAAGCTATTCACCAGGGGATAAAATGGTGTCCCTGGCCTCAGTTTATCAGAGGCTGGAGAGGGATGTCAAGAGACAAATCACTTGATCATTGTCTTCGGTCCACCCTCTCTGGGGCACCTGGTGCTGGCCACTGTTGGCAGACAAGCTACTGGACTGGACGGACCTTTGGTATGACCCAGTTTGGCCATTCTTATGTTCTTACCAAACTACCCCCTACATTTTAAATGTCTGAATTTTTGTGAGAATGTTAGAACCTTACGACCAGATGAATAATTCCTTGACAAATCAGAGGAGAATATTTAGCCAAATAACTTCCTGATTTTAGATCTTCCATGTTTGAAATGTTAAAGCAAAATAAAGCTTCCAATGAGAAACATTCCAGTCCAGGTGCACATCCACCAAATGGGAATTTCTCTGGTCAGAATATGTCAAGTTGTATTCTTCACTGTCCTCTGTGAGCTCTCATGCCATGTGGGATGTGGACAGGAGAGATGTGTGAGTGTGTTTGTGCGGGGGAGTCCGATATCGACCTGACGGGCAGCAGTAGGAGGGGAGCGTTGTTGTTTCTCCAGGCTCACCAGGGCCTGTAGCATCTCAGTTTGTTGTCTGAGAAACGCCAACAGGCCCTACTCGACTTCCCCCTGCTTTTCTTCAGTCTTTCTCTTCCGCACTCTCTGCTTCTCCTGGCTGCCTCTGTCAGACCTGCCGACATGGGTCAGGTACAAATAGTAACTGCCCAGAGGTCTGGGTGGATTAAAAGGGCCCAGGGAACCCCAGGTGATGTTGCCACCAGCATCGGCAGTGCGACCAAGCTAAGGCATGTTCCCTGCCCCCCTTCACTCCACACCACTCCCTGAAGTGTCCAGCACTCACCTCTGGTCCTCCAGGGGGCGTCTTTGCACACGGCTCCCATCCCAGGTGCTGACTTTGTAGCTCCCATTGGCTACACTGTGTGGGCAATGGAAGCTATTGGGGTGGTCCCTGAGGATAGCAGCGCCCTGAGACAACCTGGCCACCCCGCCTCAGAGCCTGACCCCACACACCAAACTGCACCCAGGGCAAGATTATGGTCTTCATAAGGCCTAGGCATTCTCACAATCCTAGGCCCTTAAATTAGACTATACAGAAGGGAGAAATGCACGATCATCTACACTCCTAATGTCTCTCACTGTAATTTCCGCTCTAAAAAATGGTGCACCGTGTGAGGAATTCATGGTCCTTCATTCTAAAATAAAAGCCATTTTGTTGTACACTGAAATTATACTCAGGGTTCACCTGGTCATTAATTGGATGAAGTAAGGTGAAAATTAAGATGATATTGCCACCATTTGCAAAATCCATAGAGCAATGCATTGGGCTCCAGAGCTGATATATCGTGTCTCAAGCTTGTTCATTGTCATTTACGAAATAACAGGATTCTGGCTGACTTTGGCCAGACATTTCCGCCAGAAAGTATTACGTGGGAGCCTAGGGTTTTTAAAAAACAACTTTGAAATGCAAACAACTATAGTAACAAGCAGTGTTCCGTCTAGCATTTTCCATTTTTGGGTGTGTTGAATTTTCTTATGTGCACCACCAGTACAAACAAAAAAACCCTTGATTTAAATATATTTTAAACAGCTTGTGGGTACAGAAAATACTTTTTTTTAAAGGAACAATGCCTATGATGTGTATCTAATATCAAATAAAAATAAAATTAACACGACCTTGGTACTACATGTATTTTATCAGCCTTTCTAACAACTCAAGTTATTAATCAATCAAAATGCATCCTATCCTCACATTGCTCAGTTTAAGATGATAAACAAATCTGTGAGTCAACTGGAAACAGTCATGTTGTCCAGGCAAGTATTAATACAATCTTTACTTACACTGGAAAGGTGAGAAACAGGCATGTCAACTCTGGGATGTCAACTCTTAATTTGATTAGTAGTGCACAGACATGGAAGAGTAAAAATCAGCATCAAAGCAACACAGAAAGCAAAAGAGGCACAAATGTGAAAATAGCAAGGGAACTAAAACACCGGGTGGTTGGTGATGGGTATTTTAAATGAATATTTAAGATCACTATACAAGTGACACAGAGACCTGAAAAGCACAAATAAAAGTTCTCCTTATTTAAAACGTTTACATTGTGTGCAACACCAACTCGACAAGTAGACGCTCCAGAGCAGCACTTTAATACATGGTTTCAGAGTTTGTAGACAGATCCACTTATTAAAGCGTTTGCAAATACAGACTTCATCCTACAACACATCTAGCAACAAACCTAGAACACCCATGGACTCGTAAGGGTCATAACCAGTCCATAAAGAAAAGATCTGGCCTTTATGCCCTCCCCAAACAAATTCTAAAATTCAATGCATGTATTGACGTATTGGTTTCCAAAGTTATGTCTGAAATCAAGAAGGCAAAGTATTATGAAATCAATATAAATCCATCCCCTGAGATTGGTCTCACTGAGCAGCTTACAGAATTATATGCTACATCCTCTGGCCTGGTGCCCAGCCCAGTACAGCCCTGCTGGAGCAATGAGGTCAGTGGGTCTGAGACATGAGACCTCTCAGCTGCGCCATCCCCCCACTCCATGAGACACCCGGCTGCCCAGCCCCTCTGCTCCCACACAGAGTTTGTTCTAACATCCCTGGGAGCTCACCCTGACTCTGGTCGCACTGCAGACTGGCTGGAACCAAAGGGATCTGTCCCCCTATCTGCTCTGGGCTGGTCCTCAAAGTGTGAAATGGGACCTGTGGGTCGGTCAGGAGGCCGGGAGTGAGGACCCCTGTCTTCCATGCTCGGCTCAGGCAGGGCAGTGGGGTGTAATGGTTAGAGCAGGTAGGGCTCGGAGTCAGAGCACCTGGGACCTCATCATAGCTCTGAGACAAGGGTGGGGCCCAGAGTCTGAGCCTCAGGGACCTGGCGCCATGAGCCCTGGGGGTTGTTCCTGCCCCTGCACCTGAGTCTGTGTGTTGTGTCGCCTGGTCTGAGACAGACCATCCCTCCTGCTAGACATAAAAAGAATTTCCTAGAATGAGTCAATCACAGGCTGATTTCCATCCACAAAGTGCACACGATACGAGACAACTTCCCCTTCCCTGACCGACCTGGGGAATCTTGTTTGGATGCAGCTCCAGGCAGGGCTGTTCCTCCTCCGAGGAATATGAGGAGACGTTTCCATGAGGGACTCGGTCCCAGAAGCCAACGAGTGCAATAAAACCCCTCAGTTCCCTCAGCACTTCTAGCGCCTGCAGCGAGGAGCTGGAACC